GACTATCAATAGCGACTGCCTACAGGCGAATACCCTCAATTACACGTTACGTTTTGCTAGCCAGCAAATTTGGACATCCAAGCCTTTCCACGAAGCAAAAGGTATCCATTCGTTCTCTCTACCCACTTTACTTAACACTTCCACCATATCTGTTTAACAAATCTGTTTATTCTTTTTTTTATTTAATGTTAGCATTACTTCAGCGTCAATACTAAATGTTACTCATTTGGTGAATGAGAAACTGTCATGCTCAAGAGTCACAGTAGAAGCACTTGCTAAAGCAAGACATGAGAGTGACAAGATAGAGACCCTAGTGTTTTATATGTGAGAACCTAGTCTTCCGCTTGATCTACACAATACTAAAGGATGCTTTGGGGCATTGTTTTCATACAAACAGAGGAAAACAAATGAAAAGGTGTCACCTAAATAATGGGTGTAAATCTTTAAAAAGTGCATCATCACAACGGCAAATCAGTTGTAAATTTACAATGTCTAAAAGAAACAGAAATCTAATTAGTACTTTCAAACGTTTAATTTAGTTGACATCAGATTTGAGAGTATTTGTTTATGAAGGAATATATTTAATTAGAACGTTTAGAAGATATGTTTAATATTTTTAGTTGATGTGCTTTATTATTAATAGTATTACAAATAATTATAGTTGAATTTTAATTACTACACAGATTGTTTATATTAATGCATGTTTTATTATTTATTACAAAAGAAATGTTAAGTGACGAAACTGAAGTCAATGTATCTAAAATTCACATATCCAGGTTAAATGTCCAAAGCTGTTTGACATTTCAAATATGAAATCCATAACAACTGCTGTTCGAATATGTTCAATAAATAAGAATAATTATACATTTGCTTACAGTCACAGTTCCCATCCGCTTTGGCACACCGTTTCCCAAATCTGTGGGGATCATTGCATTGGCAATGTGCATGTGCAGGTCTAAACAGGGCATCTGCCCGGGCTCCTGCTATCACTTTAACCCCTGAGCTGCTGCTCGCTGACGTCAGAGCCGCGGGAGAAGCTGGGACACAGGCTGAGTGCCACGGGAAATTTTCCTTCTCAAACACCTGCAGAGTACAGCACCAGGCAAGATTGCAAGCAAATGGGAACGGGGTTTTGTCATGGTTCTCTTACGACTTTATTCGCCTTTAAAAACACACGCACACAAAATGAGTGACTGGTCGTGTAGCACAGTGGAATAATAAGACAAAAAGTCACCACGCTTTCTTCATTTAGAATTGCACAAAGCTTTAGAGGTAATGGGGCACTCGTTTGTAAGGTGTGTACAAAAGAATTTAGGTACGTTTAAACCCCACTACAGAATTTGGTGTTTTTCATATACACAAAATGGACCAAGAATGGAAAATAAAAAGTGACGTGACGATTGTGCGAATTATATGAATTTACTGAATTCTTCCAAGGTTTTCGTCGATAATTCCTTTCTGCGCATTTTAAAAATATCAATGAATGTGGTCCAAACATAATTTTAATGCATATCCTCCGAACAACTATATTTTGCACCCACAAATTATCAAGTAATCATTATAACATTTTATTTTGAATTTGAAATCCTCTTGAAGTGCTCTCGTGATGCCTTAATACCCTGATTTGCAACTATTTTAGAAATTATGACGTTAGTATTGTCTTCCAAACTAGAGCTACTTGATTTAGTCATTCACAATTTCGGTAAGGTGCAATGTGTACCTCTATTATATTTACTTCACCTGTTTCTGCAGTTTGATTGACACTGGACTCTCAGTACGTCATGAAAATCATGTTGCACAACATGATTCACGGTTTTCTGCATTTTTCATGAGTCAAAATATATCGAATCAGTGCAGTTATGTACATTCTGCATTGTGTTCTCGGTACTGTAACAATGTACTTGTTTATGAATGATTCATTTTGGCTGTGAGAATACATGAAAAATAAGAACGATCTGCAACGTCTATTAAGTAATAATAGGCCACTGAAAACTTGAACTATCTAAACTTAGAACTGACTTTTTTTTTACTAGTTTGTGTGAACGCGCTTCTGGACAGAATCACACAATGTCCATAAAGTGCAAATGATAATTTATATAATCCTAAAACATTAAGATGACAGTAACGCTTGATAGCTCAATTAATGAATTTCACTTTAATTGCAGATAAATGTAATACAGGCTATATAGGCTTATACATTGAACTACATCATGAGTTGAAGATATTTTATCCTTACGATATTGACCCGAATCGATGTTATTGCACAATTCCTCAAATAACAAAATAACAAATTTTAAAAAGTGTGTATTGTATTCACGAATTTATTTTCCACGAATTAGGAATAAGATATATATTACAATAAATTAATTGGTATATATAGAAAAATATTCGCTAGGAAACCTTAGGTAACAACGTACTATTAGGTTAAACATTGTTGAAGAAATTAACATTAGAAAATTGATTAGCACGTTTTGATAAATTAAGCATTCCATAATATTTTACATATGACTATTTAGAATAATAAATATATAAATTAATGTTCCTGTTTACACAGCATTACATTCTTGATCTGATATCAACAATTAAGTTTGATAATATATTAATTTTCATTAAATAAACATGATTATATAAATCCCTGCACTGAATTGCGAACTACAGCATTTCAATTTTTATGAGACAAAGTCAAAAGGTGGTTCGTTCTCAATGTTATTTACACATGATTTGCTATTAGATTTTCTGGGATCTTCAGGAGTCCAAACTTTTGCTGTCCTGATGATGTTTTGTTCTTTAAGCTGTTTCTCATCGGTCCACGACAAGGAGTGCCCTGCTAGAGGAGGCAGGCCATAGTCTGGATCATTTGGAGATGGCGATCCTAAAAGAGATAAAGAAATGTAAATATGCTGCACCTAAGAAAGTAAACATCCAGAAATATACTTTTATATAACTTTGCATTTATTGCCAGCATTATTTTAGCCTAAAGAACAAATGTGACAAACATTAAAAGTGCACTTATATAAAAACAAGTCTTTGAATGTTATGGTGGAGGAAGTAAGGTAGCAAGCTTAAAGGGAGAAGGCAATTACAAGTAAACTGTATATAAAAATACATCTGATGCACTTACTTGCACCTCTATGACAGATAATAACTTTTTTAGGTTGAATTGCAGAATCGCTATTTGGATTCCTTAAGGGCATATCGGATTGAACAAGTTCTGTTAAGAAGTTGATGTAACCGATTGCCAATCGGAGGGTATCAACTTTTGAAAGTCGTTTCTCGTAAGGTAGCGTTGGTATGTGAGTACGGAGACCTTCAAATGCATCGTTAATAGATTGCATGCGTCTGCGCTCCCGGACGTTTGCAGCCTGCCGAAGGTGCTGCATTTCAACTTCTGAGCGGATCCTCCTGCGCCTTTTCGCAACGCCCTCGATCCCTTTTAGCTGGGGGGACACCTCGGAAGTGCTGTCGGTGCAGTGGAAGGAAAAGGGTGACGAGGACGACGTGAAGGAGAGGATGCCCGAGTCACAGTGCTCGGGATCAGCAGCGTCCCGGCTCTCCGTGTAGTAGTCGCTAATCTGGCTGCTGAGAAAGTCCACGTCGTGCTCCAGGAACCCGTCCGTGTCCAGGTGATCCCGGGATGGCTGCTCCGCGAACAAATCTTCATCATCGAAGTAGGTGGCGGCCGCGAAGGTGTCGAGGCCGGTGAGCTGCTCGAGCACGGTCTCCATGGTGTTGCCCGGTAACCGAAGCCGGGAGCCGCTGGCGCTCGTGAGTGACCCGCCAGGGCGGCACGCGAGGCCTCTTATAGGACAGTGAGCGGCGCGTGCCGCCAGGCAGCCAGGACAACCAATCAGTGAGCAGTCTGAGGGCGGGGGGGGGGGGGGGGGGCTGGCGGAGAGGGAGAGCTAGAGAGAGAGAGGGAGGGAGAGAGGGAGGAGGAGGAGAGAGGGAGGGAGGGAAAGAGGGAGAGCGAGAGGGAGAGCGGGAGGGAGGGGGAAGACGGGTGGGGAGTGGGAGGGAGAAGAGGAAGGGTGGGAGGGTGGGAGAGGGAGGAGAAGGAGGGAGAGAGAGGGGAGGAGAAGGAGGGAGGGGGAAGAGGGGAGGAGAAGGAGGGAGGGGGAAGAGGGGAGGGAGGGGTGGAGAGCGAGGGGAAGGAGGGAGGGGGAAGGGGAAGAGGAAGGGTGGGAGGGAAGGGGTGGGGAGAGGGAGGGGAAGGAGAGGGACAGAGGGGGAAGAGGGAGGGGGAAGGAAGAGGGATGGAGGGAGAGAGAGAGAGGGAGAGAGGGATGGAGGGAGGGAGAGAGGGAGGGAGGGAAGGGGGAGAGGGAGGTAGAGAGGTGGGGAGAGGGAGAGGGAGGGGATGAGAGAGAGGGGGAGAGAGAGGGAGGCAGGGCGGGGGAGGGGCGTGAGAGGGATGGGTGGGAAGGGGGGGG